GGTTCGGCCCTGGGCTGGGCTTGGAAGGGAGCAGGACTGGGCAGGGCTTTTGGGAAGGCTGAGCGATGAAGAAGAGTTTCTTGGGGGCAGCAGAGACCTTTATTTAACGCTGGGGAGGAAGCCACTGTCGGCGGCAGGCCAGCACCGTGAGCCTGCTGTGCCAAGGGCCCTTCCAGGAGCAGGGACGCAGGCAGGACTCCAGGCTGCCTCTTCTGCCTTTTAGCAGTGCCACTATTTACAGGCTGCTGGGCCAGGTTCCCAGCCACGAGGATGTTACAATGTGGTGGGGGGAGAGAGGGGAACTTGGGTCTAAGTCCCAGCTTTTCATTAGGTAGCACTGCTCGTTAAGTTGGGTCCCGTTGTGGAGGGGTGGCCACACCAGATCCAGCCACTCATCCCAGTGCCCAACACGGGTGGGTGCCTTGGCAGTGCCACCACGCAGAGCCGGGAGCACCACAAGGATCCCAGACTGCTTCCAGATACACAGGGACAAAGGAAAACCAACAGACCTTAGGAAGCTGTGATGGGACTCCCCAGTGTCATCCCAGCCTCCGACACCCCCTTCCCCACTGACCCACGTAAGGAAAAGAAGGAAGAAACACATGAAAGTCAGGGAGGGGTTCACTGTCCCCCCACCCCCTGGGATGGGCACAGGGATGTCAGGACCAGCGTCACCCCAGCAGAGCAGTGAGGGAGGAGGCAGCAGAGCTCGGGAAGCAGCACACGCAGATGCCCTTGCTGGCAGCAGGGAGGCCCTGCCAGGACCCAGCTTCCTGCCAAGGAGATTAAGAGGGTTGTGAAAAAAGGATTGTGGACTAATCTGAACAAGATTATTTAGGCTGATAATAGCTGAGGTTTAATAAACCCAACAAAGCAAGCAGGAGTTTTAGGAGAGACTTCCAAAATACCCACCTCTGTTGTTTTACAACTTAAGCCACCTAAAATAGGGATTGTGGTGTTTAGGTTTGTTGGGGTTTTTTTGGATGAAAACCCACCAAGGAGAAATAAAGCTCCAGAAAGCAGAGCTGTGGTAGGGGGTCGGGGGGCAACCAGGCACAGCTTCAGAAAAAATCTGCCAAATTCAGCCCAAAAAGTGTGGGGAGGAGGAAGGGAATTTTTGGGTTTTTTTTAAGGCTAAAATATTTCTTTTTGACATTTTCAAAATGCAATTTGTAAACTTTTCCAAAAGGCATTTTGCATTTCAATTACAAGGAAAAGAAAAAAGAATAAACGTTCCTAGGGTGAAGAGTGGGGGAAATATACCCAAAGAAATGCCAATAAAACATTTCCTGCCAGGTCACTCAGGTATTACCCACTGACTCACTTTTCTTTCTACCTGAGAAATTTTTCTTCCTTTTCATATTGGTGCCAAAAATCTCACCTCTTTCCTTCATCCGGGTTTGGGTCTGTCCGATTTGGGTTTCCCTATCCCCATTCCCAGTCCAGTCACCAAACTTGTCAGTCCCTGAGACACATTTTTCCTCCTCTTCCAGCTGCACAACGAGACAACGACAGGACAGGCAGTGACCGTCGAGCTCTTCCTCACCCTCCAGCTGGTCCTGTGCATCTTCGCTTCCACCGACGAGCGCCGGGAGGACAACCTGGGCTCTCCTGCCTTGTCCATCGGCCTCTCTGTTGCCGTGGGGCATCTCCTTGGGGTGGGTAGAATGGGCTAAAACTCAGCACTTCTTAGGTTGCCTTTGTGTTCATGCCCAAATCCTGCTTGGCTGCAGGCTCCAGGGTGGACGAGGGATCTGGGACTCGTGGTGCCTATGGCTTTCCAGTGGATAGAGGAGAAAAATCCCACCAAAGCTATAACAGAGCCATGGCCTGAGCTCAGCTTTTACAGGGCATGAAAAAATTTAACTTGCTGGGCTCTGCCACTCCTTGAGTCCTGTGGGGAGCTCCAGGGATCAGTGGAGTCTTCTGTCCTGGAATGAAATGTGTTAGAAACTGAGGCACTCCAGAGCATGATAAGACTGGGAAGGATTTGGGATGGACACCCAGGGAGATCCCTCCTGGATGTCAGACAGCAGCCCCTGACACTCCCAGCCTCTCGTGCATTAACCTAGCGATGCTTGCACCTCATCTTCCACCCTTAATGCTCTGCAAGCCCACGTGTCCATGGGGCTGTTCTTCTACCCTCGGTGGCAAGGAGCAGGAATTTGCTCCAGGACTAGGCACAGCAGGAGCTTGTCCCTGCAGTCCGTGCTGTGCTGCAGGGCACATCACCCATGGGTTGCACCATGCCCAGGACACGTGTGCACACAGAAGATGTTCAAATATGGACAAGGCAACCCTGTTGACTCAGAGGCTGGAAGCTGCTAACATCCCTTTTCCTGGAACAGGCACACAGGAGGGTGGAACGTCAGCTCAGTGAATGAATCCTGCTAATAACACACCAGGATTTTTTAAAATGTGCTAAAAGGGCTTAATGCTCCCAATAAGCTTTAGGTGTTTCTCTGCAGATCCGTTACACCGGCTGCTCCATGAATCCAGCCAGATCTTTTGCCCCTGCTGTGATAGTTGGAGACTTCAGTGACCACTGGGTAAGAAGTCAGGTCTCTGTGTTGTGCTGGTAGGAAGAGCCCCCCAGACTACCAATATTCCTCAAACCTCACAGAGCCAGGCAGATTCCTGGTGTTTCCATGCTGGATTCCCAGTGGGTGGAGAGAAGTAGAGATCAGCAAAAAGAGGTGGGGCTGCTGGGTGCTTAATTGGCTTATCTCAGCAGGGTACATTGCAACAGGGAGAGGGTGTGTGGTTTGCTGACTGTGACTTAGCAAGAGAAGCAAAACTAATGGAGAATGGAGCTCTTCTTGCTAGTCCTGGGGACTTTTTCTGGTTCCAGCTGGATCTAGACACATTTTCCACAAGCTGCTTTGGGGAACACTCCCAGGCATTTCCACCTGCAAAGACCACGTTGAGAGCCAGAGCTGGGGTGGTTCAGGCTGATGTGCTCAGAGGTGTCCAGCCTAAGCTGGTAGCCTCCTCCTTTCTATAGCAATACGTAAATAGGTAGGAAGACACTTCTCCAGAGGAACCCAAATCATTAATCGTGCTCATGATGGGCCTCTCATTAATGAAGGTCACACAGCTCTCAACAGAGGAGGAAAGACAGAAAAGGATGGCTAGGTGTATTCAGGCAGCAATCGATGGGAGTTCAGGTCGACACTGATGGCCAAAGCAGAGCAACCTCTTCAGTTTGCTCCCAGTGCACACAGGGTGGGGAGGACCACAGGCCCCCTGCAGAGATCCTGGCTCCTCTCCATCCTCCAAACTCAGGCTGGTTTTTGCTCATCCAGTTCTTCTCTTTC